CAGAGTGCCTTTTTGCTGATCATGCTCATGTCATGAGGGTCACTATTGCAGTGGCTGCCATTAAAAAGTCATGGCGTGCTGTTGAGTGGCATCTGAGCAAACACACAGTATTTTCCTATACATAGAATAGGAAATAATTGCATTCTTCGTTGCTGCTGAGTGGTAATGGGTGAGCAATGCAGTCTTTTTAATGGCAAGCAGCCTAGGGAGATGTTGTGGGGTAAAGGAAGTGGAGTTGTTCAGCACCTGATCAAGTAGGTTGTGGGTCATCTGTTCACTATTATCTCCCCCTCTGCCCTCTCTGAACCTCATTTTAATTTCTCTGATACAGGGATGGTCAAAAACAAAACTTCAGGGGCTGCAGCATGGCCCATGGCTACTTTCCTTTTCGATAAAGTGTGCTACATGGAAACTCTGAGCCTGATTCTGATTCTCACACTGGTCTTACGCCAGACTATCACCTCTGATTTCAACTGAGCTGTTCCTGATTTGCGCGAAGAGCAGAATCAGGCCCTTCAGCATGTGTTGTTGTGTGTAGTGCAGCCAGACTGCTGGGACCATGACAGAGCATTGCAACATGGGGTTTATGGTCTCCATGGGCTCAATTCTCATGTGAAAGAGGTGGGTTGCTATAACCTGGTCCATTTTATGCTGGATAGGTGTGAGCCTATGGGCACATTGCCAGCATCACCCTCAGGTGGGCAAAATGTGTTTTGCCCAGTGCTTGATCTGCAGCTCCTGCTGCATATGCCACTATGGGGAACTCCAAGTCTTGTACCAGGTCTGGAATGCTGTTAATGTCTGTGTGAGATTAATGTCAAGCTGTTAATGTCTGTGTAATGGGTTTTTATTCCTCATTACTGACCTGATAGATAATTCCTCAGCTGTTCCTCCAACCTGTGGGATTTTACCCACTTAATTAACTTCCTATCTTGTTAAGTTAGCTCTCCTTTTTTGCACAAGGAGCTGTGTACAACTTGTGTTCAAGGGACTTTTCTCATGTTCATATCAAAGGTACCGAAGGTCCCTGAGGCTGGTGCAGAGCCTTTGAAGTGAGTGGTGCTGCTGCAGAGGCCAAATTTGGAAGTGCTTTCTTGTGTTCTGATAGCAAGTTGTTGACGAGGAGCCAAGTCTGTGATATGTCATGTCTGACACAGAGGTGAGATGCCCCATCCCTGCACCCCCAAAGGAAATAAATGGAAACCGGTGACACTGGCCAGACGACCCACTTCATACAGAGTGCCTGGTGGCATGCTTTAAAATGGAAAGCTACCATATACTCATCAGCCTTTCAGCATGTTCGTGAGCTGTCTATGTAAATAAATACACACATCAAACAAGGAGCCGACAGCTTTTTACCATGTTTCAGGCTGAGATGTTGATTAACGATACAGCTCATCTCAGCATCTATCAAATTAGTGCTAAGACCGTGGCTGCATCTTAGCTCTATTTAATGTACAGATATTTACATCATGGTAGCTGTAAAATGTAATGAGACGTTGGCTGGATTTACATCTGTTTGGTGTTGCTCATGATTTACAGAAACATTCAGCTTAGATGTTTCTTTCATCATTATCTTCTCTGTCTCTCACTCTCTATTCATTGTGCCTGGTTAATTGTGTTTTTATGCCCATGTGCATCATTGTGGAAGTATAGAGGGATCAGAAAAACCCACAAGAAAGGCATCCACCCCTCAGTGCCACAGAGCTAACAAATGTTGGCAGGAGAAGGATCTATGAGCAGGGCTAAATAAAACTTTTTATCTCCAGCACTGAACCAAGCTGCGCTCTTTAAACCAACATAAGGCTGTGAGCCACAAACACCAAATTTGAGGAGGAGATCTCAATATTACATTGTATAAGGGACACGTGTGAGCACAGTTGGGTGGCTATGCGCAACTCTAGGAACTTTTATTATGCTCAAGGCTGTTCTAGAAACAGCAGGGGTACAGAGAAAGGGGGATCACATATGAAGAAATTTCACTGAGGTGTGTACAGAAGAGGGACTCCTTACTTCCCTGGTAGGCAGAATCTGTAGAGCCTGCACATGGAGGGGGCATCTGCTCTCTGTCACACAACTCTTTGATGTTAGGGTGAGCTGGGAACTGAACCGAGAAAGACTGATGGCTCTGCTTCTACATACACCAATCCAGTGCCAGTGCCCTTATAGACTGCAAGATGTAGGAGTTAGTTTCAGCCTAGTGGTGGAGAACTTTTCCCCATCACCTCTGGGCACCTGGGCTGCACGGTAGGACACAGGATTTCAGAGAGAGGGTACAGCAGCAAGAAGCTACAAATTGGCATCTACTGTCCAAACTGGAGCCACAGTGTGAAAATAAATTCCTAGTGCACTTACCAGACCAGAGAGTACAATGACTGGATTTAATTATCAAAGGTGACAAATGGCTATAAATGGAATTGTAGATATCAGCAAGATGAAAGTGTGTAGAGGTTGCAGAGGAGTTTGAGCTCCTAACCGATTGGAGAGGCAAACCTACGTAGATGGCTTCCTGTCTTCTTATAGTACTAACATCACCATGTTACCAGATTTATTATAGGTGGGCTGGGAGTAAAGGGATGAAATTAATGTAGACAGTTTATATGAGAAATCCCTAATCATGAGATCTGTTAGAATTCGCAATGGTCTGGCAAATGAAAGAAGGGTAGTCCCATTTCTTCCACTGTTCAGAACTGGATTGGACCAAATATTGGACAAGGATAGTCTGGTGGGTGATTGAAAGGAGCTTGTCTTCTATCTTTTCTCCTGAACCATGAATGCGTTTGTTACACTCTCTGGCCTCCTATGCTGTAAGAGGCTAAAACTCCAGACCGGTGTGTGACATCTGGCACTAGAAAGGGCACAGGGGATGCGAGAGCTGTGCTAGTCAGAGGAGAGAGGTGGTGAAGGGGTAATGTGAGGAGAGAGAGAAGCCCTGTAACCATTCTGGCATAGGTCTGTGTTGCGCCAGTTCCTGTCTGAATCCCATCTGTCAGTAAGAGTGCGATCCAGACCCAACGTTGCTTAGTAGAGAGGGAGAGAGCTGCAGAGCAACTACTCTGTATGGCATGTGCTTCTCCCCCCTCTCTTCCCAGCATCCTACTGACTTCTCCAAGGGGAAGACTGAGAAGATCTGATATGACCTTCCTCTACCTGCTTCTCTCCCAGGGGCCCTTCCTCCTTTACCCCAACCACTGACTACAAGGTCTTTTGTTTACTCACTATGTACATCCCCTCCAACTTTTCCCCTCCCCTCCATCCCCTCCTGGCTAGTCATGTATCTTTGTCCATTCTCATTGCCTCCCTACACCTTCACCATCCGCTTGCAGCCCTCTTCTTACCATTTACAACTACTACTTCTCTGAAACATACAGCCAGTAACTTGCCAATCTGCCTTCCACCCTCCCCACACCAGTGAAACGTCAGTCGACAAAGTCTCGAATAGTCTCTCCCTGGGCAATCCTTGTGGCCACTTTCTCTGTCCTCCTCCTCCTTGAACTTTCTGCAGTGTTTGATGCTGCTGATCACTTCTTCCTCCCTGATAACCCCTCCTCCTTTGGCTTTTTCAGTCTACTCCTCTCTTTGTTCAACTCCTACTTCTAAGTGGCTCATTCAGCATCTCCTTGGGAGTTACACAGAAAATGGAGGAAGAGGGGAAGTTGCACAGTGTTTTGTGCCCCTTCTCTTCTCACTCAGTACCTCATCCCTGAGAGACTTGATCCGTTCACAAGGATTCAGCTTTTATTTCCTGTCCTGTTTCTCTCTAGCCAGTCTGTCTCTCCTAGGGTAACCAGATGAAATGAACAAATGAAATAACAATTGGGAACACATGGGGGAAGCCACAAAAAAAAGGTGGCCGGAGCAGAGTTGCTGAAGCAAAAAAAAAAAAAAACCGCTGGAGTGGCCAAAGCCACAATATCGGGACAAATGGCATCCCGAACGTGCATTGGTCGGGACGCAGGACAAAGAACTAAAAATCGGGACGTCTGGTGACCCTAGTCTCTCCATCACCTCATCCTGGATGGCTCACTGGCAGCTCTAATTAACAAGGATAAAAACGAGCTCCTTATTGTTCTTCCCAACCTCCTCTCCACTTTTGCCTTTCTCCACTGTTGTAGACAGCAGGTCTCCTTCAGGTCACATAGCATCGCTACCGTGGGAGTCATCTTTGACTCCATCCTCTCTGCCTTCCTACACATCCCGACTGTTACCAAGTCTTGTAACTTCCTCACAACCTGTTGACAATCTGCTCCCACCTTTCTGTCCCAAAGGCAAAAACTGTTCCTCCTTGATCACTACAGCCTCTTCCTCTCCAACCTCCTTGTCATTCCTGTCACTCCACGCCAGTGCATCCAAAATACATCTTCCTTGCCCAGTCAGATCATTCCTCTCCCTCTTTCAGTGCTCCCTTCGCTCCCTCTGCCACTTCACTGAGTTTACATTTCTTGTCTCCATCTTTCAAATGTCTGCCCCAGCTTACATCTTGGATTTCATTTATTGTGTCCTTATTTCTTTCACTCTACCAGCCATGCTGGCCTTGATGCTGCTTTCTTTCCTTTCATTCCCACCTTCTAGCCTCTTTCCATGCTGCCCCTATGCCTGGAGGTCAGGGAATCCATGACTCTGTGAATGCGCCAACCATGAAACCCTATCTAACCTCTGAGGAGGCCGCTCTGCTCCTGAAGAGTCAGTAACAGATACAGAGCAACTCTGTTGATGCTTCATAGCCTTGGTGGACAGATTCCTCCTTCTCTGTAAAGGGCCCACTGTGCCCTGGCTGGCTACTTAGGTGTGGCATTGAGGAGTGAAAAGGGATTGCCCCTTGGGGAATTTGCTGCATTTATGCCTGAAGAAATTGTGTGTTTTCATTGAGTTAATTCAGGCACTCAAGGAACTTTTGACAAGTGCCTGCATAAGCAGAAGTGACTAAATGAAGGCTGAAATCTTCTCCCAGTTCCTGACACTAGGGTATATTTATTTTGTTTGTTTGTTGTCCCTGACAGGTCAGTCAGCCCAGTAGCACCAGCAGGTCAATGAAGAAAGGAGATCCTGACTGACGCATGCTTACCTCAACCTGACTTCTGGAAAAGAACAAGTATTGCGCTGAAAACCTCTCACCGGGCAGCACTCAGGTAAGGGAGGCGGCTCTGTTAGCACTTCTAACTCTGCTGGCACCAGGCTGGCCAGTGCTTGTTCACTGTGCTGCTTTCAGCTGAGGAATCTTCCCTGGTTTGTTTCTAGAGTAGCTGCACCACCATGTAGTTCTAGAGGTGAAACTCTGCATTATGCTGACTCATGGAAACTGGAGCTAGAAAAGATGGCACCTTCTATTCCAGCTCCCTAATCCTCAAATAGGCCAACATAGCTCCCTTGCAGTGTATTCCCCTGTCTTGTTCTAAATGATGGGATTTTCCCTATTTCCCTTGAGACACTATTCCAGAGTCTAATAGAATTAATCTGTTTACCTCCCTCTTAACCCTTGACCACTGCAGATGCAATTAGTAGAAGGGGATGGGAGGACTGTTTCCTGCACTGTATTGAGAAGGCTGGCCACACGCAGCTCCTTGTTAGAAGCACCATAGGGCTGCACTAGCCATGTTTGGTTTAGCGTGAGTGCCGAGGGTGTGTGTTTCAGATCATAAAATTTGATGCCCTCTGCTTGTCATCTTGTATTTGCCTGTCGTGACTGGTACCCACAGACTTTTCTCTGTGAGAACACAGGAGCATTTTTATCCATCATTATTCAGGGCCTGGCAGGGCAGTGAGTTGTGTTAGATGCCTGTAGGAAGAACAATATTGCTGGAAACTAAAGAGGAATGCAAAGCTGTTGTGTTGTCTTCTCTTGCTGGTGACTATCTGGGGCAGTTTTGTCAGTGGCACTGGAGCACTCTGGTGCTGGACTCTGAGCTGAATTTCAGTTTCTCTCATAGACAAGTTGGCTGGACTGTATGAATTTGGTGTCCTTGCATCTGGTTTGACATTGCTGGAGGATCTCTGTGTCCCTCTGTATACTGGCCCCAGCCCTTTCTTTGATGAATGCTGTAGCCTCTGGCAATATTTACTGAAAGGACTTGGTGGAAGAAGCAGTTGAACATATAATCAGAGAAATTAGAGCTGAGGCATCCCTAATAGATCTTGTTTAGACTACCCCTTCCCTCCACACAAAGGCAAATGAAGGGTCCTTCCCTACAGACCTCACCAGAACATTGTCCAATCTAGTTTTAGATATTTCAGTGGAGGAGGCTCCCAGCATTACGCTTGGGAAACTGTCCAACATCCTAAGTGATCCTCCTGGAAGGAAGCTTTTCCTGGTAGTCAGCCTCTGTTTTCTATCCTTTACCCTGGTGTCCCTTTTTCTGTGTTTTCAGGGAGCATAGACTGTCAGACCTGAGTTACCCTCTGTGAGTAAAGAGCAAAATTTTAATCTTGTTGCTTTGTGTCATTGGGAGGTTTTGGGCCAATTTCAGTAGCTAGATCAATCACTTTCTTTCTAAAGCATCTGGAGTGGTTTAACAAACACCAAGTAAGCCACTGATACCAAGATTTATTGGCCAAGACAATGTAACATAGCCTATAAAATTTTACTATAATGACTGTATTTATCAGCATAGTATTTTCTAAGCCTTGGGGATAGAGTTACATGGATTTAGTATTTGGAGGGGAAGAAGGGTTGCCTGTTGAGTCCAAAGTCAAATTATCCATTGATTTTAAATGCCATAACCAATTCCTTTTCAGCTGAGTTCTACTTGGAGGTTGGCTGCTGCATGTCTTAGAGGAGGGGAAAGCATTTGCCTCTGGGATTTTCCTTCCTGCCAGACTTAACTCCTTTGTGAGTTTCAGAAATCCTAGGAAGACAAATTGCATAGGATATGCCACATGTACTCTCCCATTCTCACACACTTATCTTGTTGCTAGCTTTTAAAAGGACGGCATTAGAGTTGGTGTTGTGGAGTACAAGGCGCACACAAAATATAAATCATGGTGGTGGTCCTGTCAGAAGCTGCATTTCTCTAGCTGGGAGCCATTGACCCCTCTTAGTGCAGTCACCAAAAAACCCACAAAACGACAACCCGACATCAGGGGAAATGGAGAGTGGGTACCAGTAGAGAGTCCCTTGTTTTTACTCCAACACCCAGCCTCGCCTATTGTTTGAGACTCCATGCAGGGCACTTCTAAGCATATGGGAAAAGCAGCATCTTGCTAAACTAATTCAAAAGATTGATTTTTATAGTCAGCTTCTTTCCATCTCTTCATGAGTTTTGTTCTGCTTTTGTGCATGGAATATGTAGACAAGAGGGATCAAGGTAGATTTCTGTGTCTGTGTCCAGTGCATGCAGTGGATTTCACCTTGAGTCTCTAGTCCCAGTTTAGTTGATCACGCTAAGTAACAGAAACTATTAAGGCTTTGCTGCAGTGTTAAGAGCAAAGGCTGCTATTGTGAATTTTCCTGTAACCCATTTGTATCCAATAAAGATCCTCTTTGCCTTTCATTTTATCTTGTTTTAGAGATAAGCAGGTAGCTGGACATTGGTACAGTGATCCACTTGCAGTTTCTTCCCTTTGCTCCCAGCTTTACAGGTCCTTAACGACCATTTCCAGAATTGTGGGACTCTGTTATAACTTGGTTCTGCCTTTCCAAAGAACTTGCCATCTGTTTGTATGATGTTCCCAACTTTCATTCGGTTAGGCTCATACCTTCTGGTGGAATGAAGGCTGGGTTTGGAGACCTGGCAAGGCTGAGTGAAGTGCCACTGAGCCAAGCATTACCCGTTACTCAGTTCGCCTTAGCTGCAAACAGTGGTAGAAAATGAAGTGTGTGAAAGAGGATAGATGTAGTCCCATGTCCTCAGCTAACAAAGGAAGCTGAGGTTTAACACTGAAGACCATGGATGCCTCCCCTACTCTTGCTTTGTTTGTAAAACTGCTTGAGACTGAAGTCTTATGTGGTGCAATTTGGTGGCTTGTGCCAGTTTTGGCTGCCTACTTATCTGCACATCTTGTGCTCTCTCCATTCCATTCAGTGACAGAGACTAGTTCCACTAGCACTGGATCAACCCCATTTCCCCGGTGACAACATGGAGTATGTCTTCACTGCAAAATTAACTCTATTGATTGGCGGCCAGGCCAAAGTCTGGTTTTAAAGCTCCACTAAATTAAAGTGAGAGGGTTTTGTGTGTTAGAGGAGTGGAGGGTTAAGGGCAATACTCAAGTAAGAACTCAAGCTAACTCTGCAGTAATGATGTATCCTAAGGCTGTGTCTACATTGCAGAGTTAACCTGGGAGATTGGCTCATGGGTTTTAGCAGCCCAGATTAGCCTTCCCCAGGTTTGAGTGTTCCCATGGCAAAGCCCTAGCTAAGTTACTGTGCTTTCACTCTTTCAGCACTTGCCTGTGTGCGTGTGCATATTTTGTGGGTCTTTGAGTTGAGATGCTTTGGGATTTTTTCCCATCAGTTGTGTCAATTGCAGGAGAACTTATCCATCGGCTGAGGGGATGTCATGGGGTTGCTGGCCTCTTAAAGCAGAGTTTGGTCCCAGGCTACCCATGATGAGCTAATTTAAGGGGAACTGGCCTATCTTGGTAGTTAATTGAATAACGAGCATCTGGGCCTGATAAAACAAACATCAGGGCTCAGTTGCAGGGAGGTGCTCAGAGAGAGAGATGCTCTCCTAAGGAAGAGGAGCTCCAAGAGACCACAGTTCCTGGAGAGGAAGGTTGTGCCACCCCTGAGCCAGCAGGAGTGACTATGGGCCAGAGAGGTCAGGACTGAAAAGCAGAAGCCCCCAGGACAGCAGCTGTGCAGCCCCTAAGCCCAAGCGAAGAGAATTTATTTCAAGTTTATTTGTATTTAATAAAGTAGAATCCCAGCAGGGTAATTTTTTCTTACACCTTTTTGGACTGTGTGGAGGTCTTACGGGCCTCTGAGAGAAGGGAAACTGAGGCAGGGAGTGCCCATAATGTTACATTAGGTCAGATGGGAGCACTACAAGGCAGGCATATCACCTGAGAGGAGAATTTTGCAAAGGCCATTGGAGGACTGTCTGCAAAGGAGTGATTTAGCCTGTGTCCTCACTGCACAGTGGGTAGTTTCCAGTTAGTTGAATTGGAACTTGGTTCTCGCCTACCCCCAGCTGGGTCAGCTAGCTGGGGCTGAAAGCACCTCCAAACCTGGGACAGAGTTTTTTCTGTGTGGACAGGAAGTGGGATTAGGGGTAAGAACTAGGTAAGAGTCCAACTTAATTCTGCATAGCCATAGCCATAATGTTTTCATACCATATCCTTTCCCTTTGAAGGGAAGCAGATAGAGCGTTTGAACAGTCAGCAGAAATCACAGACAGCTGTGATATTTAGCTGCTGAGGCCTGTCTGGCCTGACAAGAACAATTTTGAAATACTGAGAAGGACTTGTGGTACCTGCTCAATCAGAAGGGGGGATGGGTGAATGAGTCAAGCTCAGGAGAACATTTACATTCACCAGGGAGCAGTGGTAGCAGATAGAGAGAAAATCCCGGTGATTTCTTGGGCAGGATTAGCTTGCTGATGAACAAGAATCACTTGCTCTGAAGAAACAAGCCCCAACCCAAACAAACCCATTTAGTGATGCACATAAAACACATTCAAAGTAATATTAGCATAAATAAATCTGAATCCCCTAACTCCTGAAAAGAGAGCAGGAGAGCGTGGAGGGGGAAATGTGTAATCAGCTTTAAGAACTCGGAGGGTTTTAGGCAGTTATTGGAGTTGTTTTTGTGTGTTTGGTACTCCCCCCACCCCCCATAAAAATAGTCAGAATATAGTCCCCAATACTTCAAGCTCAGCTTTTTAGTGTTACCAGCCATTCTGGTTTTTCCTGAAACGACTGATTTCAATGGTGTGAATCCATCCAGCTACTAGGATGTGAAAAGCTCTTGAAATAACTTTTTGGGGTCCATTCATGACCTTCATATTGTGATATTCAATTCTATTGGGATTAGAACATATTAAAAATAGAAAACCTTTCCATGAATTTTTTGAAAGAAACAAATATTTGTCTTGACTTTTTTTTTCCTTTTGTTCTTTCATTGTAAAAGTGTGTGTGTGTGTGTGGGGGGGTGGTTGCTTTAGAAAGCAGTTTCTCAATTTTGGGTTTTATG